ATTTGTTCAACAACAATGAACGAGACAAGAGTGAAGATAGTCAGAGTATGCAAGAAAGTGAGGATGAAGACAACTTTCAAGATTTATCATGGAACATATTCGATGCATTGCGGTACATGATGCAAAAGCAACAAGCCAAAAAGAACTAAAACTAAAAAACGCAAACAAATAAAATAGCAGTATTGCTGCTATGCTCAATGTGTGGTGTGTGTTTTTTTTAATTAAAACCTTTGCTGCTTTACTTTTTTATTACTCTACATGTGTGTTTGTGTGTCCTTATAATTATCAATTTTTGCTGCTCTAGTATTTTCTTTATTAAACGCTACTACCTTTTTAATATTACTGCCCTTCCAAATTTTTGTGTTATTACCTTTTTAGTGAAGTAATAAATAGATTGATTAATACAAATAAATATAATTTTAAATAATTAATGAAAGTTACTTGCTATCTCTGTTTATACTTGACACCTGGAAGAGAGCACAATATTTCAAACAACAAATTAGCAGCTGTGATTGCAGTACCACCACTAACATCATATAATGGATTTACCTAACCAACAGTATTAATTAAAATAATGTATTAAATAATAATTACCTCAACAACGTCAGCTGAGACTATGTTTAAACCTCTTGTACCTCTAATTACCTCAAGAGCTTGTGCCGTTGTCAAACCTGCTATCTCTGGAGTACCTAATAATAGTAATTTGTTCAATTAAAATATGATGCATAATGGCTATATTACATAGTGCTACATTAAGAGGTTTCTTATCAAAGGGCTTCACTTTGTGTATGCATTCATGTGTTACATTATTAGTAAATAGATATACATCATTCTCCTATTAACAATATGGCTGCTGTGATTGTGAGTATACCTGTTCCTGGGCAGTAGCTTGGATCAATAGCATCAATATCAAATGTTAAGTAAACCGGTTGAGTTGATCCTAATTCCCTTCTGATATCAGCCATCAATGGACATAGGGACTTATACCATAAGTCATGTGCTGGAAACATGTGAAAACCCTAAAATAATAATAACAACAAAAAGTGATTATTATCATTTTCTATAGCTAATGATACACAATAGAGAAAGTACATACACCACCTATCAATACATGTACATGTATAGTTTATTATCTATACTTGTTCTAGTGGCCAGTCATAATCATCAGGGCTATAGCCTCCTCCTCTTAGTCCAATTTGAAATGCTTTCTTAGGATCAATAAGTCCTTCCTCAACTGCTCGTCTGAATGAAGTCCCATGACATATCTTCTCGCCAAACATGGTATCGCTAACGTCAGCATGTGCGTC